TTAATTTTAATATAAGGTCTTGATTCTTGACCAGCTGTTGGAACAGTGCCTAATTTGCAAACCCATGATAGCCAGAAGAAAAATCAGACAAAGAGCAAATTCAGCAACAACGCCATTTACCCATATCACGTAAAGAACTGCGTCGTATTTACAAGCCACAAATTCGTATTGGGTCAGATTCAGCCACTGAAGATGATTGACCTACGACAGGACAATAAAACATTACTACAAGAAGAGCGTATGAGTTTGCTACAATCCTTCCATACATAGGAAAATGTACGTTGGGGAACAGATGAGGGTGACTGAATGACGGCCCTGTTTTCGTAGAGTGCATCATCGATGCAGTATTCGAAAGTTCACCGATAACAATTCACTGAGTGGAAAATCCACTGACTCGAAAATTCACCGACCCGCAATTCGTCGAAAGGAAAATTCACCGATTCTACAATTGATCGCCGATGATTTATTCATGATGATTATAAAACAGCTTCATTTAGAAAGAGCATATTTGAAAGATTATGCTAATGACAAGAAGACTTACTATAATATTGCCAAAAAATTTAATCTAATGCATTTATTCAGATAGCACATTTGAAAGATTAGTTAATGAGCACAATAATTACCATGCTTCATCACTAGATAATACGTCAGAAAATTCATAGAGGTCAGTTTCAAAAAGTTCTTCGAGTGTGATACTTCAGTTACGAATCTTCATTAACCGTCATGGTCCTTCAGTTCTTCACAAGTGAAAAGGGAAGACAGAAACTTTAAGTGGACGGTCACTTATTTTTCAAGCAAAAACAAGCTGACAAGACACATTGAAAATGTAAGAAGTGATACATCAGAAGCACAAGTGCTGGGTTCCTGTAGTAACAGCTGAAGATGCCAATGAGGCCGTGAAAGGAGTTCTCAACTAAACTGGGGATGCAGCTCATGTAGAAGTCTTGAAGATGGAAGATGCTGATCATGCAATAAATAGCCTGTGCAACTTAGCCAAGCTGCTGCAGGACATAATGCGAAGAGCGACTGTATCAAAAAAACGATCGGGAACATCAGAATAAGGAAACAAGCTGCACTAGCCTTGCCTATGACTCAAGAGAAATTGTGTTTCATGAGCAGTACAGAATAACAAAAAAGGTGAACCGTTCTTGCTGTTTGATTCAGGACCGACGGAAGATAAAATTGTTATATTTTCCACCGCAAGAAATCTCTGATTATTCGCCTCATCTGAACATTCGTTTGCGGACAGAGATTTTAAAACAGTGCCTCATTTGTTTATCCAACTATACATACTTCATGGTATTCAAATGAACACTTCAATTCCGCTTTTGTATGCTTTACTACCAGAGAAGACAGAGGCCACATATGTTAGGATATTTCAACAGGTAAATCAGGTGATGCCTCCCCAGAAACAAATATGACCGATTTCGAACCTGCCATAGTCAGTGCTATTCGTCAAGAATCTCCAAGGGCTAGACATCGAAGATGTTTTTTCCATTTTCTGCAGTGTACATTCCGAAGGACTCAGGCTGAGGATCTTCAAAGAAGGTACGAAACTGGCGTCGAATTTGCATCGAAAATGCGATTGTTATCTGCGATCAACTGTAGAGTCAGTGAATTTTCCTTTGGACGAATTTTCGAGTCGGTGAAATTTCCGTCGGTGAATTGCAGTAGGTGAACTTTCTTAGATCCGTCGATGCGTTGGGAAGTTGTCGTCATGCACATATGATGATATCCCTCAAAACAGCAACAAGATACTTTATCTACAGTAATGTATGTGCAATCTCTTCCGTTTCGACTGCAATCTCTTCCGTTTCGACTGACCTTTTCTTGCATCGCTGCTTGGCCGATTCGCTTGAAACGGCAAAAAGAATAGAACGCAGTGACTTTTGCTGTGGCCCCACTGATCACGACAGTTTGAATTACAGGGGGTTACGATCTATTACTTCTGGCAATTAGACGCTAACTCGCTGAAGGAGATAAGTAGCTTCATAAGAAGTGAGCATCAACGAGAAACATATTATGCAGCGTGGACAGTACAATGACGGTGGACCAATGGGATAGGATTCTAAACGGATGTTAATGAACTGCTAGTTAATTGCTGAATACGACGATGCTGGGAGATTATGAACGCTATCAAATGCAAGCATATGACCGAGGTCATAACCCGCCTTCAAAATTGATTCTTCGCCACCGGCTTGCTAAGTAGGTAGCATCAACGAACAAAGAACAAGTGGGCACTAACTAGAAAGTCTTACAGCAGTGACTTTTGAGAGGTAACATTCAATCTGTTCCCGGTGTTATTCACAAAACGGGAATAATCGCAGGAACGTAGCAATAACGAGAATATGACATCAGCCCAATAGTCATTCATTATCTATCATCGTGTCTAAGAAGTCAAAGGGGAACAGCACTGCGTGAATCAGAAGAATGTCTTCAAACCCCCCACCTTAACCAGGCAGGAACTGAAACCCTGGTGCAGAGTCTGGAGTTCATATTTGTTTTGGCTGGTTGTCGTTTTATGCTCTGTCTCTCTGGAACAATGAATGTGTAGAACGTAATAGACTTGCCACGTTAATGTAACATGAACAAGAGTCTCTTGTTGAATCAGAGACTGTTATTCGCTTCCACTTAGGTCCACTGAGCTCATTTTGCGATAGTCTGAAGAGTAGAAGCCCCATTTTGGCCAATGCGCAGACATGGCCACCGGTCAAGATTTTATAATAATCCACCAGAGCCTCATTGGTCGGCCGTCTCTGGGCTCACAACAGGCCTTCACGACTACCGTAGAGGCTAAAGGATGATAACCCATCATACTTCAACCCGCCGAATAATCCCTTACTTTGATTATCGTCCACTATCTGGACAAGGACGAGACGATGAATTTTAGACTGTTTTCATTAATTTAGTAAATTTAAAAGTTGTAATGCATAATAAAGATATGGAAATAAAATATTGCAGCGACTACCTCAAGTACACACCTGATCAAGCGCAGTTAAATATATGTGAAGCTAGAACAAAGAATCAAATATCAACATCATATAATCACCTCAAGCACATGTTCTAGCGCTGCTTTACAACAGTCCTCCAAATTCGTCACATTCGGTATGAACCTTCGTCTGGCTGGCTGATCACCGCCACCTTCGGCGTCTTTGTCAATCTTATGCAACGATGGCTTGGTCAAAAGATCCATTGATACACAACAGCAATGATCAGACACTTGGTCCCCTGGTAACGTAGCGCCCGGAAAGTAGGAACTATCGCAATCGACGTCGTCCAAGTCAAAGACGTCCGTCGCTGGAGAAGATGCAGCAGACGGATCGCTTTTGTCTGTTGGGCTATTGTCGACGCTGCTCGCGGCCGAATCGCCACAAATCAGGTATAAATTTGACAGCAAATAATGTATTGATCCAACAACCTCAAGTAAACAAATGCTTTTGATAGAAAGACTCAATAAAACCGAGACATCATATACCTGAGGCAAAAGCTTCACGTCCAACAAATCGAGGCAGTGGTGTAGAAGGCGATAGACGGTATTTGCGATTTTTCGCGGACGAGACTTGGTCTTGTCCAGCAAGTTCTTGGCAACTCTGTACATGAGCACTGCAACTGGCACCGTAAACGGATTCGCATTCGAATCTTCGATGTATTCTTCGCACACGCTTGTCAAATCATATAGTTTTACCACATCATCGTCTGGTCCTTTAATTTCGTGAATTTAATAAACGAATTTCGCAGCACTTCTTATTGGCGTATCGCACACGTCAAGAGAGTGTACTATCTTAAGTACGGGATAACAAACTGGTACAAAGCAAAACAAGGTATTCGACATGTTAGCACGATAATCTACTAGAAAAATTCAAAAAGATGCCCTAAGCAGGATCTATTCTTCTGTAATACATGTGGTCTGATTCTGCCATAGCTATACATTACATTATTCCTCGTATCATGCATACTGTTACCACCTTATCCATACTATTGATAAGCATTTGATTTCACCACGCAACAACATAAATGAAACTCAGTTTCACTGAAACTGATAGAATGAGACTGCGGTAAAAATTTTTCTTTAAAGCTCACACATAAGGTGCAGGAATTTTTACCAGAGAAGGAATGATGCCGACTCTGAATCGAGCAGCTTAAGCTATGGTGAAAAGCAGTTTGCAAGTCTCCTACTTTTAAGGACATATCCTTGAACAAGAATACTTACTGCGTTCACCAGCTAAGTAAATCCACCTAGAAATGTGTACTGTTTTCACCTCACCCTATGCACCAACGTGCACAATCATGGTACTGTAAGAACTGATGCATTCAGTCAAGAATATTGTATATCTTGTCATGGACACTCAACATACTAGAATGAAAAAGTTCGAGGGGTTAGCTTATGTCACAACAGACAGTTGTTCAGCGCCAAATGAGGTTCGGGTAAATTGATAAAAGCAGCGTGATTTATTTTAACTTAATTGCCGCAACAAAGAATTTGCCCTCATTTGCTCAAATGCAATCGAGAGAGAGGCTAAAACTCTATTTGCAAAAAATGAAACACAGTGCATGACGCGATGAATGTAATCACTCCTCAAAGGACGAGACTTAAGAATACACTGCCTGCGATCTATGCCATCTTGGCACGGACTGCTGGTTGCTATCAGTGCTTGGCCCTGCAGTTGCCGCACTGAATTTTTATTGCTGGACAGTGACCAGCTGCATCAACTGTGCAATTCAGCCCATCATGTTACAGATCAGTGAATAGCTCTGTGTCTGAAGCAGGATGCCATTGTCAAAAACTACTGAATTTCTTAACATCATGTCATTTTGACGACTTTGCGATGTCAGTCAGCGCGCCATCTGCCCTCAGGAGTTTCAATTTACGTAATCGGCAGAGGGTCAGTCGGTAAAAATGTTTTGACTTCGCCATTCATATTACTTATCAATGGAATTTCTATGCGAGTACAATGAGAAGCTCATTTTAAATAATTAATGCTGATAATTTTCATTTTATTCCATGATGAAATCATGAAAACCTTCGTGAGTTCGCTTAGTCAGCGTGCTGTTATTTTATCGAGAGTCGAGGTAATATAATTGCAGGTGGTCATCTGTATCAATTGCTTGATTTAACTTCTCACATTATACATCGCTCGAAACCTCCTTGTGCGCGGAATATGAAACTTTCTTCATAAGTATCAATTTCGTCAGCTGGCATTTCGCCCGACGACATTAAGCAACGTCATTAAATCGGCACCCGTTAATGTTAACATTTACAATCGCGAGTT